AGAAACTACATCCTGAGCTCTCTGGTTTCCTCTTTTTATTTGTGTTTTCAAGCTTCCTCCTCACAATGTCTGGAGCCTTATCTGAGTACAAATGTCTGCCTCCGGGGCCACTTTTTTTCCTTATTTTGTTTTCTTATGGAAATGACCGTGACACAGAATCTGTTGTAGCCTTTTTGCTAGTTTGTGGATTGCAGGCAGAGGTTTGCCCAAAGGCGGAAGGATCATCAGATAGAACAAAACTGCTCTGGCAAATGTGGATCTGACCCTCTGTGGAAGGGGAACTCTGCATGTCATGTCATATGAGGTTATGAAGTCCACCCTTCCCTTTAGGCTGTGACAGAGGAAAAGCTGTCCCTGTTTCATTGCTGTCCCTTACACCTAAACTTAATGGCTGCAGAACAGTATGTAACACTATTCACTGATCTTGTAGCTGTGGGAATACTATTCACGTTTGTCAGTCCATCACTTAAAGTAGATTGTCTTCAATACAGAAATCTGTTCCCTGTAACTCTGAATGACCTGGATGGTTTTAGGTGTAGTAGACCATAATTATAACCGTTCATGGCAACCCTTCCCCACGGGGCCCTTATGCTCCAGGTAAAAACTTCCTCTTATGTGAAAACACTGCTGTCTGTTTGTTTCGTGATCACTGACTCTTAGTGTATCATCCTTCCCCATAAAAGTTTCATCTGTCTCAGTCTGAAACTGAAGTTCCTCAGGGAAAAAACCCCAAACACAAAACCTGTCACTGGCAGACTGGTAAAAAAGAGCTTATTGTGGTTTGTCAAGTACATATTCATTTTGAAAGGACTTGAAATACATCAGTCTGGGCATCCTAAGAGGCGTTCAACATGGCATGAAGTCATGTCTATCTTTCTCTGACAGGGGCCTGTATATACTTCTGCTTATTAAATTTGGACTCCTCAGCCCTTAAATGAACTCTTTGGTAAGCCCAGCTGACTCAGCTTCTTGAGTTTCTACCTGTAGTGGGTCTAAGCACGGCATTTGAAAAATCAGTCCTAAATTCCAACTATTTTTTAAAACTACTGTCCAGCTGGGTTTAATTTATTTAATGTGTGGTGTATATATATATCTATGTATATATATATATATGATTTATTTCCTGTGATGATACTCTACTGGCAAGTATTCTTTATAGAAATCAGTGTGTGACTGGTACATAAGCATTCATACTTCTATCAGTCTTGTTCCAAAAAAAAAGTATTTCTTACTGATACATCTGTGCAGTTATTTACTACAGTGAAGATGTTTAAAGTTGCATTTATTAACTAAACATTATATCAACTGGACTCTTTTTTTTTTTTAAATGATGTTTCAAGGTGACCAACAAAATTACTTCTGCCATGCTAAGCCCTTTAAAAATGTTGCTGCATTCTCACTGCAGGTAAGGTCAGTTGTTCCTTGTGCTTCCCAGGCCAATTTTTCTCCATAAAATGACAAACACTTAAGTTTACCTTCAGCTTCATCTGCTGAAACACTTCTCCTTGAGCTTTTAAACCAAAGCTAACAGTAATTCAGAAAGAATCTACTCACTAAAGCCTTAATTATGTATATTGTTTTATTTTGTTGATCCCTATTTTCCTGTTCTCAGATAGATTATAAACAGGAGTGTTGTATTGTCGGTTGGAGTGATGCAAGCCAAGTGAAAGTTTATTTGTGAAGGAGAAAGTACTGGTCATTGTTTGTGACAAGGCTGCAAAGGGATTTGAAAGCCCATGTCCAGGTGTGGTTCTCCAGGTCCTAGCATCAGAATCCTGCTCTTCCTGCCTCTCTTTGGGGCAAGACCTCTGGAAGCTGGTGGTAGGCACAGAGCTGGATGGTGTCCAGCTGTACGGATGTGCACTCACTTGTCCAACTGCAAAGATAAAGTGACACTTCTGAGAGGGGAGCAGGTTCTAGCACAGGCAGGGCATAGCAGCTGCCTGCAGGTGCTCATGGCCTGTGCTCCAGTGGCTTCACCTTCTGGGTAACTAGCAGAGAAGATGCTGGGAAGCTGGTCTTCACCGGTCTGAGAAGGAAGCAAAAGAGCTAGGGTGGTTGGCAACTTCCTTTGGAGTGGGAGGCTGACAAATCTGTAGGTTGGGAGCGTGGGGCCACTTGCCATGCCTGGAGTGGGACTTGAATGTCAGAAGATACGGAGAAAAGTTGCTGAGACTCTTTCCAGCACTGTCTTGTATTTCTAATTTGTGTGAAGTCTGTCAGGGATAAAAAGGGGTGGAGGGTGGGTTTCTTTCAGGCCTTCCAGGCAAGTAGGCTAAAATTGGCTCTTTCCTGAAGTTCCCCTGGAGATGCAGCTGGAGGTATGAGCTCATTCTATGAGACAGGTAGGTACAGGAGAAGACTTTTGAGTAGCAATTGCAACTTTGTCTCCTTTCATGATTTGGTGGAGTTTTTCCCTGTGGGCTGGACCTCATATGTGGAAACAAGGAAGGTCATCTCTTTTCAGGGCAGTTCCTGTGTCGTTGGTGTATCTGCTCAGTCTTCTGCGAATCAAGAAAAACAAAATCAAACAAAACCCACACCAAAAAAAAAAAAAAAATCCCTAACAAAAGACTTTCTCTCTGCAACCACAATGCCATTTACCCCCCGCCCCGAGCCAGGGATGCAGTCCTGCTCCATACCACGGCCCGGCGGAGCCAGCGGCCGTTCCCTCGGGTAGCTCCGGGCGGGCGCCGCTGCCCCCGGCCGTGCGGGACCCTCCGAGACGGCGGATAAACCCGAGGTGCTGGTAACGCCGTAGCTCTGAGGTAATCTGCTTTGAGGAGACCAGGAGGTCAAGCCTGCAAGTTAAATGGATTTGAGTCATGTAGAGTTAAACTAACCCCTCCCACAGCCATGGACCACTAAAGCGCCCATTTTCATGAGCACCTCTCACTAAGGCAGCTCGGAGCCGGCGGAGGCTGAGAGAGGAAGAGGGAGGGAGCGAGCACCAGCACTGATGGATGAGCCAAAGGGTAAGGACAGAAGCGAACCGCTGATCTCCAAAGGCAGCCCTCACCCCCGGCGAGGGGCGCGGGGGGGCGGCGGGGCTCGGCGGGGAGCCCCCGGGGTGGCGGCATCCCGCGGCCGGCACTCGGGGGAGGCTGTGCATATTCATGAGGAGCTCCTTCGGATGTGCCAGTCAGGCGGGAGCTGTGGCTGCGGCATCCCCGGGCGGCGCGTCCCTCCCTCCGCGCCCGCGGAGCGCTGCGGGCGGTGGGCGAAGGCTCCGCGGCGGGGGCTTGCCGGGGTGGGCGCAGCCTTTGCCGCAGTCCGCCCCCGGCTGACATCATCTTCCAGCCCTTGGACTCCTGGTCGCTCCTGAAGGACAATGCCGAGTTGTGACTGGGGTGCCCGGGTGGGGGGCCGGGAGGAGCCGGAGGTGCCCGCGGGCTGGGGGGTCCCGGGCGGTGCAGCGGGGCGGGCGGGAGCGGGGGCTCCGCGCCGGCGTCTGCCAGAAGTTTGGTCGCGTCAGTGCGAGGGATTCCCTCCCCGCGGCGGGGAAGAGCCGGGTGCGAGTCCCGGCTGCCGCCGGCGCTGCCCGCGGGGTCGGGGCCACTCTCCAAGGGCGAAGGGGGCGGGGAGGCAAGAGCAAAAACTCAGTGGAAGTGTTAGCTGTTGGAAAACCGCGGTGGGAGGCAACAGCTCTGAGGTTGGAAGCAATGTTGTGCTAGGTACGAGGGGCTCTCGGTGCATGGTCTCGGAAAAGGAGGATTCGCCACTCGGCAGCCGGGCAGCCCTCTGGCCTTAACTGCGATCCTGGGGATCGGGGGAGAGACCCGGCAATAGCTCTGTTGCACCGGGGTTTTTCTACAAGATACATGTCTTGTACTAGGCTTTGCCTTTTATAATCAGCTGACACGGTGCACGTAGCAGCACTAGTCACACAACGTTTGGCAGAAACATTTCCTAGTTTAGTATCAGCTTTTGTCTATCTGGGTGCCTTACCCATCTGGGTGCCTTACCCTCTGTTTACAGCGCCTTCTGCAATAGGGGCCGTCTTTCTGTACTGCTGACAGCACTGTGCTCTGCGCGGCTTTCGAACACAAAGCAGGAACTCGGACAAATAAGCAAGAAGCAGTACATTGAAAAAATATCTGGGCAGAAACTTAGCCTTTAAATTGAGTGAGAAGCTTAGGGATAATAGTTTTCACTATTTTGGTAGTTTCTTGTTCAGTACCAGGTGGAAGTCTCTAATTTATCATTGTTATGACAACAGGGAAACAAAATGTGATTATTTTTTTTTCCCCCTAGAATAAACAAAATGGTAAACTAGACCTCTCCCAGGTTTTAGCTTCATAGAATGTAAAGAATAGCATTTGGGAGGAAGAAGCATTTTCTCAGTCTGACGTACATCAAAATTTAAAGCAAAGTATGGCAGAAGGAGAAGGTTAGCTCATTAGTTTACGCAGTCATGAGTGAAGCTGGAAATATTTAGAGATAATTTGCCTCTGCTAAGAAGGGAGATAAGAACAGCTTTGAAAACAGTCTTTTAAAAGTTTCATTCCAAAAATAAAATACAATACGTGAACGGAGATTTCTAGTGAGTGAGGAATCACAGGAAAGAAACTTAGATAATGAGAACTGATTTAGCAAAGAGGATCAAATAAGCCTTCTTTTAGAAAGTGGAATTTTAAAGAGATAGAAGGAAAGTGAAGAAAACTGACAGTGCTCAGGACAGTTGTAGAAGAGGAAGTGACAGTGTCACAATGGGCTGACCTGCAGAGCATGCAGGTCTTGTAAGAGCCTAAAGAAAATTAGTGCAAAAAATAGCAAGAAACTGTGTTTTGGGGGGGGACAGAAAACACGACACTGTTTTTGAGAACTCCTCTCGCAGTATCTTTTACAGAGGCAGCAGTCAATGGGTTCAACATGGCGAGTCCAGGACAGGCAGTATCTATCAGGTATCAGGAAAGTTTCCACCTTGAAATGAGGCACAAATGCACACCAAGGCCATGTCCTTTCATCAAAAAGGAATTATTAGGGAGTGTTTCAGTAAGAGACCTGTTTCCTGTGAGCCTTGTCTACGAGGAAGCCTGATTTTAAATATTGATGCTGTCATCTCTGCTTTGATATTTGGATTAATATATTAACATAGCCAAGGAAGAAATTCTGTTTGGGATGCTACAGAGCAACAGGTCATATTAGTGATTAGTGTTGAATACCTTCTTGGACAGAAAGCAGGACTACCTGAAAAATACATGTTACTGAAAAATATATAGGTGTGCTTCAGTCCGGGGAGAGCATGATGGTGGTCTCATGTAGACAGCAGTGAAAATCAGTAGACCTTCTAAAATATATGTATTTTAACCTAGAAGGTACTAAGGCAGTAACTCTGATTGGGAGCTCTCTATATACGTGATGAATTAATTAATCAGATGACTGCTCTCTATGGATTGTTCCAGCACACAACAGTAATCGAGCAAAATCTGATGGGGAAAAAAAAGTAAAAGAATGTGAATGGAAAATCACAAATTTAAAGAAGACATACTGACCAGCACTTCAAAACCAAGAATGAGGATAACTTTGACTTGTTCATTCAGGCATTGAAGGCAGCAAGTAGAAGTTAACACAAGTAAATGGCAAGGAAGTGGAGAAAGAGGAATTGGAGAACATCTAATAGAAAATACAGACTGTAAATTGGGGAAGATTATTTAGAGAAAGTAAAGATGTCAGGAGAAATCTAAATTTAACAGGACTAAGCACAATTAAAAGGAAGCATTTTGTGTTCTTAGGAATGAAATAATGTATATCTAGCAATTGTGTAATCATTATGGAGGTGGACAGGGTAAGATTTTAATGATGATACAGGAAAAATCCCAGAAAAGTGTTGGATAAACATATGGACATATTATAGCTAACTAGTTTGTTATGTAGATTAACATTTTGGGGGCAATAAAGTCTTACAACAATTTAAAATTAAGTATGCCAAATACTTATTGAGAAGATCTATACTCAATGATTTTCATTTTCAGCAAACTGGAACACTAGGGATATCTCATGCAATGGGAAGAATAGTATTGTTGATCCAATATCCCAGCAGTATGATGGTGGGTAGCCTGGAGAACTATTTCCAATTTAACTTGACATCAGTTTTATCTAAATTACTGGATAGGTCATCTCAATAATCAGGTTTTAACAGCTAGTATTCTTTTGGTTTTGTGGAGCATAAAACTTGTCAAAGTAGCCTTCAGAATAATGTTGTAGAAATCTTACCAATTTCTACACTGTCAAAATGGATAACAGAATGAATGCATTGAAAAGGAAATTATCATCCCATCTCCATCATCCCAGATGGATGCAAACATAAGTTCATGTAGTTCCCTCAAGTGAGCATATTAATCTGCATCCTAGAATGGAGATAGTCCCACCTTCAAGAGTTGGCAGGAAGAACTTCAAGGATTACGTTTCTTTTGGGTTTGGAACTTTGGTTAGAGAATCCATTTATAAGAAGGGGCGATGGGAAGTATTTCAAGTACTGGTAAATCTTTTAATTTGTCTTTGCTTTCTTGAAGGCTCTTTTGTTTACACAGTAAGTCAGCTGACTGAACAAAATAGATGGTACACAAGCCTGGTGTGATTCTCATTTGGGAAAACAGGCTGCATTTTGTCTAATGCATGTTAGTTCTAGGAAAAAATACGTATTCTTAAAATCTTAGTGACTGTTGAATAAATCTTGACTCTAAGTTAAGGGACTCTATAAAGCCTGACTTCCCTTATGGTTAGGAACTACTATACAAAAGGGGAGGGAACTGGAAGAACTAACTTCTCTGGTTACTATTGTACAGCCATGAGTTTATTATAAGTGTAGGACTGGGAAGGCACTGGTCCTTTATTTTCCAAATAATTATTTGCACTTGTTTTATTTTTCAGAGATAACAAACGTGGTTGAAAACAGCAAATATTAATATCTTCCATGTTTAAACTTCTTCACAATAGATGAATTTCTGGTGTTGTTGTGATTATAAAAGTTTCCCTTTGACTCTCTAGCAAAGAATGAGCTAATGGATTATTAATAATTAAGACTTGGATAGCAATAGACCTCAAAAATATTCATCAAAAGAAATAATCACTAAACAGCTGTGTTTCCAGAAGTATTCTGCAAGAGGCCCAATGGCATTAGACATTTTCAATAATGATCTAAAAAGTATAAAATCATTGCTGATTTACAGATGGAGTTTGTCAGTGCTAGGAGGACCAGTACAAATACCAATTAAGTCAGAGGAAAAAGTCTAAAGAAGCCAAGAGAGGTTGGAAACATAAAGAGCAAATAAAAGGCTTCTAGCCAAGCTTGTAAAAGCACAGCTAATGTGACTTTGTGAGGAAAATTGGACATTCAAACTCTGAATAGATTAGAAAGACAATGTTGTCCAGAAAAAAATATGCAGAGGTGTGTATGTGTGTGTGTGTATATATATATATATATATATATATATATGTCTGGGACAGCCGTAACTCACAGTTTTAGTTTTTTTATGTATATGCTCAGCTGCCTCACCATGGAGGGAGAAGGTTGTCCTCTAGTCAACTTTACAGTGACCACTGCAATAAGCTTTTTGTTTGCCTGTTGACTTCTAATTACCAGAAGCATACAGAAAACCCTCAAGAGGAGAAAAAATACATTTAAGAGGCTGAACACCTGAAAAGGGAAGGGTTATAAAAGCTATCATAATTTATAATCTTTTTGTTCTTTCCTAAGTTGCGTAACTGGCCTAGTATAGGAAAAGTATCATTCTTGGTCACAGTCCTTTTTTTTCCTAAGACATCTTTACACCTTTAGCACCTGTTGGTTTGGGAGCAACCAGGAAATGAAACCTTTGGGTTAATACCCTCTGGCTAGGTATTTTGTACCTTCTTACTAGCCCAGTGCTCAGTAACAGTGTTCCACAGAGCTGGATCTGGTTGGAAGTGTGTTGATACAGGAGCTGAGTTCTCAGCTTGGAAATTATCTGTTCAAGGTGGTTAGAAGGTTTTTAAAGACAGAAGGGTTTGGGATGAACGTTGGGATGAAGTAGATACACTGAGGTGACTTTGGGGAGCCACCCCATAAGGGATTAGTATTGCTTGAGACTAATCAAACTTAAATTGCAAAATTCTAGATGGTGTTCAAAAGAGAAGCACCACTGTTGGTTTTCTGAAAGCTGTTAGATGGTGACCACTTCTAAAATTCTATTTTCTTATTGTTTTGTTATCTAGATGTGAGAACTGCCTTTATCTTTCAACTCAGTGGAAACTTCCCTTCCCTGAGCAGAGCTGAAGGTTTATGGCAGGCACTTCCATCACTGTCTCCTAGTCACAGAGCTATTGCCAGTATGCTTTCATGGAGAGCAGCAGAGCCTAAGGGTGCACTTCTACAGCTGGCGTAATCTGACATAAATCTGTGCTGCTGAAAGAGAAGAGACAAGGCGCCTCTCCTTGTCCCCTAGCCTTGTTCTTTTTAATCTGCAATAACTTTCAGCTTGTCTAACTTGAAAGCCACCACCAGCCCAAGTGAGAGAACAGAAGGAGGGTAAGTGTAAAAGTCACTTAGATTAAAATTATTGGGGGGTGTGTGGAAATCTTCACTGCAACACAAGGAGAGACGCAAAAACAGCCCTGTGCTCTGAAACAGTGCTGCATTAGCAGCACGAATAAAGAAATGAGTTAAGGGAAAAAGTGTGAGAGACCAGATGGAAGGGAACAGAGTCGGCTAAGTGCACACTGAACAAATTCATCTGCTCACATCCTCTCATGCATCCGCTGCCCCCAAATGTGGAAAATGCTGGAAAGATCTGTTTCCCATCCTGCTCTTTGGGCTCCTTGTTCCTCTGTCCCCAGTCCTGCATGGGCTGTTCACACTCAAGGGTGATGCAGGCTGTGTAGTGGTCACTACTGTCACTACTCTGTTGGTGCTTAGCCAGCACCAGCAATGCTACAACTATGCCTCTTATAGGTTCTTGTCTAAACCCTTTGAAGCCCATATTTGTCCCTTCCAGCTTGGGAAGAGCTTTCCGTGAGGATGTGCAGAGCCACTTCACTGTTTGCCTTCACACTGCCTTTCGCATTCCCCTTGTGATGTCAACACAGGGATTGAGTTTCTGAAATAAGGAGACATATGTCCATCAGCCTGACCCATGCTGTCCCGTGCTCCCTTGTGACCTTCATCCAGCTGTATGCTACATCTCTTCTGACCAAAAAGTAACCCTTATGTGATGGCTGAATGGTTTACAGGCTGGAACTTGCACCTTTGACCAAACACTTTTATTTTGCTTAAGTAGAAGTTAAAGGCTCTTAGTTGATTCCCCTTTGTTTCTGAACTTCCTGAGAGTCTTGGCTTCTGATCGCATAGGATGGTGAATGCCAGATTGTTCTTGAGGGAGAAGATGCAAAGAAAATGGACCTATTTTTACAAAGGAATGAGAATTAGCTTGTCTTCATTAACTGTCTGCAATCTTTCAGCCAAAGCTCAAACCATCACTGGCCTTTGAGCTCTGTGCTGACTGGAAAAGGTGACTCAGCAGCTCAGGATGCAGAAACCGCTTCAGCCCCTCAGATGGTTCACAGCACTGTCACATTCTGCTCGAAGGGCACCCGAGACGGTGGAGTGACAGGAGCGGCCGCTTCAGCTGCTGTGGTTTCTAACGTTCACCAGAAGTGATGCTGCAGATGGGGGCAGGGGAGGCAGCAGCCTCTGCACCTTTCTCCCTGGGCTGTAGCGAGAAGAGGTAGACTCCTCCAAAAGTGAGGGATGGAGGGAATTTGGAGACCCTTCAGTAGAACTAATGGGATGGAAACATCCAGAGTGCGTGGCAGAGCCCAGGGAGCAGGCATGCAGCAGGAGGGAGGATGGAGCTCCTGTGTGGGGTGTGGGTTGGTGGTGAGGACAGGTAATGGAGTGGCATTTGTTCCTCTGCTGAAAACTGTCCTTCCCTGCCACCTGCTCTTTGCCAGAATGGGAGGGGGCAGCTCTTGCCAGGGAGAACATCTGCTCTTGGCCACAATCAACCCTTGGCTGTTGGCTTCAGCTGCTTTGTGGGAAATGCAGTGGAAATCTGCAATTTTGTCTTGAATTGAATGTGCTCAGTAAGCTGATCTAAAGCTTCTATATATTTAGTCTCGCTTTCCTGAAATAATATAGGAAACTTACTGTTTGTCATCTTTGTTTGAGACTGCAGTAAACATGAAAACAGCTGAAGCTGAAAAGATCTTTATTCTGCTAAATCTAGTGGTCAGGGTCTTGTTTACAAAACTTAGAAATACTGTTGTAACCAAAAGCTTGAAAGTCATACAGAAAAGGAGAAAAGAATGTTCCACTGATGTTGTTTAGGATTTATTTTTTCATTAACCAAGGGGAATTGGGACCTTATTTGAAAGGTGGAACTATGGCATAAGACAGAGATACAGTGGTCCCTTTCTGTGGCAGAGCAAACAGAGCATTTAAGCAAATTGTGAAGTTAAACCTTTGCACTTCATCTTAAAAATAGTGGTTTACAATAGAACCTGGCCCCATGCTATGAACTCCTTGTTAAAGACAGTAATTTTACAGTTGCTTTTTAGGTTACAAAGCATGTCTCAGCTACAGAGACTAGTAATTTCTCTGCCAATTTAAGGACCTTCCAGTGTTTTGGCCACTTGGTGTCTTAGAATGCTAACTGGATCCCATAGGCCTTGCTGGGAATAGATGTCCTTCTGCCCCTTTATTTCTCAAAAGATTGTAACTGTAAATTTACACATCTCGGTAACCTTTGGTGTGGTGTAGTGGTCAGGTTTTAGGTTTACTAGCATCTTTTTAATGTAGTAATGAATTCTTTTAACTCTGGTTTCTCCTTCCTCCATCCCCGAAGTCAGATGGCAGGAAGGAGACACAGGGAATGCCTTTTTTCCTCCATGGGACTCTGCTGACTGTGTTTCTCTTTTTCAACATGTTTCTCCTAACCTAAATGACATTTTCAATTTTTATCACCTTTTTTTAAAGTTGTAGCAGAACTGCATAGATATTGTAGCATGAGTCATGTGTGTACTTTACTAGACCATTAATCTCCAAATTGTTGTTAGTCTGGCAGAACATCAGAGAATATATCAAAATGATGGAAGATGAATTTAAGAGTAGTTGTAGCCAAAGTGTGCTGCTCTTTCCCTGGACCCTGGGAATTCTGCCTCTCTGCAGGAAGGAAGTATGCTGTGAGCCCTGGCACATGGGAGCTACCCAGACAAATGGATGAGGTGGTCCAGAGGACAGAGAACCAGGCATGTGCTGCTCCCTTAGGCTTTTTCATCATCTGGGGAAATGGGGCTAATGGTGCTACCTCTGTAAACTCCTTGGCAGCATATGGGTCAAAAGCACTGTGACAAATTTAAATGTTTCAATGTGTTACTAGGGAAAGGCTGAAGTTCAACAGACAAAAGTATGATGGTGGGCTCCAGTATTACCTGGTTTGTATCAGTTTCCCATACGTTGTGGGCAGACAGCACTGCTGAGAGCTGGAGTCAGCTGTGTAAGCCACAGAGCTGAGGGGAGCCTGGGAATAGTGGGAAAGTAGTGAGAGAGTCCCGGCCTTGCTTGGTGTCTGTGTGCTGGGAGAAGGCTGGACTCATAAGACTGTGGCATGAGCATGAGAAAATGTATGTGCACAAAAGCCTCCTTGTGAGGTTCTGCTATGGCATAACTGCAGCTATCCTGTCTCACCAGAGCTTTGTGGGAGAAGATGAGGTTAATGCCAGCCTGAGTATAAGAATGCTACCAAGTCTGCGCTACACTGGTGACAATGGTCTCACCCTGTTCTGTCACAGGGAGCTGCTTGGCACATGACAGACTGAAACCAGCTCCAGCTCTAACACTGTCAGTAGATCTTGGGTGTAAACTATTTAAAATCCTTTGTGGTGAGTCTGGTAGGGGCACCCGGGAACAGGCTGTATTGTTCCCCTCCAGAATTTCAGCATCCTCTAACTTCCAGAAGACCGCCACTGCTGCTGCGCTCATGCGTGCTGTGCCACAAGCTCTGAGCAGGAGACCTGGCTACATCTGAGCAGCAGACTGAGCAGCATGGTTACCACAGCAGCCCTAAAACCTACTCCCTGTGCTGTTGCTATAACCTAACCAAACCAAGGAGACCTTTACCCATCTGCGATGATGGCCTGTGGAGTGAAGGTCCTGGTACACCATGCATAAGGTAGTCATGCAGCTGGAGAAGCAGAAATACTACAACGGGCCTGAAGGAAATGTGAATGAAGGTTGTGTGTGTGTGTGTGTGTGAGAGAGAGGAGTAGAACAGCAGCAAATCAAAGGTTAAAGGAATGGTCTGTATTGATATCCAAAGGACATGACCAACTGCACTAAAAGTGGATAAATGCTGAAAAAATGTGTTTGTGACAAGTCCAGCAGCCTGCACCCTGATAAGCCTCACATGGATGGCTTGTCAGAAAAAGGCATGGGTGCTGATAAAGCCCATGTGCAGATGACTCTTTGGGGAAGAAAACTGTGCTCCAGTAACAGAAGGATCACAGTAAGCTCAACAGCACATCCCATGTGTGTGAGCTGTCCTCCTCCTCTCCCAGAAGGAAAACAGACCATGGCAGCTAAAGTACCCAAAATGAGAGGGGAAAAAAGGCACTGAGCAGCCACCTGTCCCAGGTAAATGAGATTTCAAGGCAAATGGATCGCACTGCAGTAACCATTAGCTCCTGAAGACAGCAAAAGACCTGCTCAAGAATTTGTAGCTTGCCAGTGAAGAGGAACCTAAGAGATGCAGTGAGGACTTGACATCTGGCACCCTTGGTCTCATCTCACGTGGGATCCTCCCAGAGCACCTGGGTGAGCTTGGTGCCTGTGAGTACAAGGGGAGTGCATGTGGGTGAGAAAATAAGTGTGGCCCAAACGATTTTTCAAAACAAACATCATCTTCCTGTTTCATAAGGTCTTGCACTGTTGCTGCACTAACTTGCTGTATCATAGCTACATTAAAAACTACTCCGTTCTTAAACAAAGCTTTCACATCTTTTTCTCCTTTATAGCTGGTAATCAGAGTTTAAGAAGCTTTTGTTTTGGTGTGATCAGTGGTGCAAAAATATGAGTTCCAAATTGAGATGTAAGAGGCTCTGAGGGCTGAAAAACACTGGATGAAAATATCAGACAAAACAGAAGGGCAAGGAAAGTTGTCAGATGCTTTCAGTGATGGGAAGTGCAAAGTTGAAACTACTCAAAAGCCTTTTGCCTTCACTGTTCCCACCCAAAGTAAGTTGACTTCCCCTGTGTCTGCATAAAGAATGAGCTGGTCGTGACCCATGAAGAGACTGGCTGCTGAGAGTCATCTGAATAAGGGTGCTGTGGGAGCCCAGTTTATAAATGGATTTTAGAGCTAGGACTCCCACATCTGCCCCTTAGGGTTACTGTAGAGCTCCTATTTCTCCTTCAGCCTCTAGCCTTCATTTCCATACTTCACATCTCTTTAAGTGAGCCCCCATCTCTTTAGGATCAAATCCTGCTTTCAGTTAGTGATGTTGTCCTTATGAGTATCTGAAGTTGGAGTTATT